AATAAAAATAATTATTTTTTTGTTAATTTTCTATTTTTTTATGTATTATTAACAGAGAAAGGTAAAAAAAAAACAAAACAATAACGTTAGATGTGAATTTTTTCATTATTATTATTTTATATCACGTACAAAATTTAATTTTAAAATTTCTATTAATTTTTCATAATAATTTAGATTAATTTATTAAAATTTAAGTGTAGAAGACTCAATAAATGTAAAAAAAGAAATAAAATAAAAACAAATTTTTAGTAAACATTAATTAAAGTATAAATTATTGAAAATTTAAAATTACAAAAAAAAAGAAAAAAAAAATTTATTCGTTTATTATTATTATTATTATGGTCACTCTTAAACACGACAAGGCTCTTATTTGTCGGGGTTTTTAAGCATTTATTCCAGGTTTCTACCCGACGATTCCTTAGGGACAAATACTCGAATTTCGTTGGTGCTAAGATTTTCCGAAGAATGTGGGCTGTCCCACTTTAGTTATTATTATTATTATGTTAAAAAAAAATTTTATACGTTGAGATTTTGTCTTTGTGTAGGAAATTTTTTTTTTATACGAAACTTATTTGTAATTCATATTCGTTAAAGTCAATTTACTAAAAAAAAAAAAAAAACAAATTTAGTTTTAGTTAGATTTTTAAAAAGATAATAAAAAAATAATAATAATTTTTGGCCGGAAACAAATTTCGTATGAAATAACACACACACACAAAAAAAAAAAAAGGAAAATTTAATTATAAAAAATTATAGTCATAAAACAAAAATCAAAATGGCGTTTTTTTAAACGGTTTTCATGGCAACCAACCGAATCGACTTAATTTTAACCGGTTGTTTTCAAATGGTAGGTGGGATTTAGTAATAATGATTCTTTATATAAAAGAGTGTTCATTTTCTTACCTACCCACTCGCATTATTATTATTATCATTATTATTATTATTATTTATTCCACCACCACCACCTTTTTTTTTAACAAATTCTAAATCTAAACTGGTTACCTGTTTCATGACGAAAAATGTTAATTTATTTTATTTTCTTATATAAAAAAAAAAAAATTAAAATATTAACGATAATAATTATTTGTATAAAATTTTTTAGGTACGATAATAATAATAGTTATTGATTATGCGATCGATTAAATATCGATTAAATGTCAACTTTTTACGATTTTATACTTTTTACGTTTTTTTTTTTTTTTTTTTTTTTTTTATAAATTGATTTAAATAAATAAATAAATTTATTTTTCTTTTCCCTGTTTTTATTTAAACAAAAATTTTATATTGTTAAATTTTTTTTTATGCATGTAATTGTTTAAATAATTATTTTTTGTTTATAACACGATAAATTTTGTTTACGATGCATAAATAATTTTTATTTATTTATTTATTATCGATGATATTTTTATTTTATTTGTTGTAATAATAAGGAATTCAAACTTGGGAATAATTTTTTAAACTTTTTTAATTATTTTTATTTTAAAAAAATAATAATAATAATACTGATAATTGTAATTAGCTATATTAAGTGCCTTTTTTTTAAAGAAAAAATTACTTTATTATTATTATTATTCGGGTTAATCAATGATTTTATTACCTAAATTATTAATTTCATAATCGTTTTTTTGTTTTTTTTTTTTTAATTTAATTTATTCTAAATAATTTCAATTTCAATTTTTTTTTATTGTAATTTTTTACTTTGTTGTCATTATTATTTACCTATCGTGAATTGTTATCAAACAAGTGTAATATTTATTTAAAGGGTTATCAAAATAAACAAAATGAAATAAATGTCGCGAGCGCCATCTGTTATTGAAAATATTAACTAAAATTTTTTGTTGTTTGTTTAAAGATAAATCCGCTAGGTGTCGTCGCACGTCAAAGCATAAAATTTTTAAAGTTTGTTCGTTTTAATTTTTTTTTTTTTTTTAAAATTATTTATCGCTCATTTGATTGAAATTTTAAATGTAAATTTATAAGAGCTCAAAAAAATTTTTTTTTTAAACTAGATGTAATTTTCGGTTTTAAAACGGTTCAGAGGTGAATAATACGAATTTGATATATACAGGTTTTCTTTTTAGTCTATGACGTAACATTATATCTCTAAGAAAATCACGTGATTCAAATCGATGACTGCGCGCAATAATTTTATTCCAACGAACATTGAAACGTTTCAGATTCGTTTTAAAAGTGGTCTTAGTAAGATTTACTGTGTTTTTTTTTTTCTTGACACTTGAAGTGTTGTAAATATTTTTTATTTATTTTTTTTATTATTTTTAACTTTTTTTTTTTTAAACTTTGAATAAAATGGCGAGTACAAGGGCTACAAAATCAGGTTTTGCCGCCGAAGCTCAAAGAAAGGTAAAAATTTTTGAGTTATTATCAACCTTATTTTATTTAAAAAACCAACCAATTTTTGTTTAAATAAAACAAAATTGCATTGTATTCATAAATTACAAGCGTGACAAGCATTTATTCATGTTTTCATAGTTTTACAGTAAAATTGTTTGTACTTGATTTTTTTTTTTTTTCTTTATTAAATTCTCAGGTGTTAAGTCTTACATTATTCTTTCTTAATTGTGAGAATTACTTAATGAGTTTAAATTTTAATTTGGCAACAGATGTTAATGTTAATAATTTTTATGCTTTGTGCACAATGTTTTTTTTTTCATAATTTTTTCTTTTTTTTTTTTTTTGAAACATAATTCTGTAAATATTTGGTTAATGTGACATTTGATTACATTTCTTATTTTTTTCTGTTTAAATTTGTCAAGTTAGGTTAATCTAAACTGTTTCATAAGGAAAGGGAATTTTGGTTTTTTGAATTAAAATTATTATATTAATAAGTTTTTTATTAATTAAAGCAATGTTGATTTTTAAATTGAAAACTTTTAGGTAATAATTCAATTCACAATAAATAAATTTTTTCATTATTATTCGCTTTTTTTCCAAGATCACTTCTAGAGTTGTAAATTTTTTCGAATTTCAAAATAAGTTTTCCAAAACTATTTAATCGCTTTATTTTTTTTAATCTAAAAATTTTGATTGAATACTTTTTGAACACTTTTGAATACTTTTTGAATACTTTTTAACTTAATCTTCTGCTACATTTTTTTTTCTAGTGTAAAAATTGAAAAAATAATATTCGTTTAACTTAAACTTGTTTTATACTATCAATCGAGAATTTCTCGAATATTATTTAAGAGTAATGTACCTTGACGATAATACCTTTGAATTGTGCCTTTGAATTTATTTTTTTTTCATAACATCAAATATTATTTAAACTAATAAGAAACAATATTTTTTTGTGTTTCTTCTTAAAACTTGACATCTTTTTGTCTTTTTTTGTTTTCGATTAAGTACAGATACCCACAAACATATATTTATGTATATACGAATATATTTTACCTTTAGTTACACTACTCGGAATAATAGATTTTAAAATTATTCACATTGCATTATATAAATCATAAATGTTTGTCACAAATTTCAAATTTATTAAATTTTTGCAACAAAAAAATAGGATATGAATAGTTTATATTTATCTTATGGTTGTAGATATAAAACAAATAATCTCAAGGCATAATTTTTAAAGGAAATCATAAAAAAAAATGTGTTTACAAATTAACATCCTCGAATAATAGGTCATCAAATCATGAGGGGATATACCTATAATAGGCTAGAAATTAATTTAAATTATTTTTGTGTGAGTGAGGTGTCATGTCCATTTCAAACGTTAAGGTGTCGAGTAAGAAATCAAGTTTGTAATTTATTTTTGTATTCATGAGGCGATTTGATTATTATTATTATTTTTACATACGTCGTCATTTTCTAGCCTTTTTGAATTTTCAACAGCTTTCCTCCTTTCTTATATATACGTTTAGTAAAAATTAAATTCATGCCAAGGATAAATAAATACAACTTTTTTTTTTTTTCTATCCAATGATGTGATGCCTAAATATGGATATACAATTTCGGTTTAATCATGAGTCACATGTATGTCATGGTTTGATTCTTAATCCGTTCGTTCGATTTTATTACTATTTACGTCACTAATATTAGATAAAATATTTCAATAAGATTACTTATGGTTAAATTAAATAGAAAAAAAAAAAAAAAAAAAAAAAAAATTCGCGTAATGTTTATGAGAGAGAGAGAGAGAGAGAAAATTTTTTTTTTTTTTTTCAAAAAAAAACGTCTGATATTAATTCTATTAATTTTTTAACCTTGTTAAAAAAAAAAAATTGACGGTTATTTATGAAAGTAAATTTAAAAAAAATATTTTTTATAACTCCCATGGTCATCGCATTAAGGTTCGCATTGTGTTGCATCCTCCAAATCTTAAAGATGAGATCATATCTTTTTTCGTTAAATACATTCATCAAATGTTTACCTATGTTTGACCGAGGAGGAGGAGGAGGAATAAAATATTTATTCCGTTTATGACTTTGAAACATCTTTGGCGATTATTCCGCCAAAAGTTTTCCCTCTCTCTCTCTCTCTCTCTCTCTCTCTCTCTCTCTCTCTCTCTCTCTCTCTCTCTCTCTCTCTCTCTCTCTCTCTCTCTCTCTCTCTCTCTCTCTCTCTCTCTCTCTCTCTCTCTCTCTCTCTCTCTCTCTCTCTCTCTCTCTCT